AAGTACTAAGTTTGACAGTTGATATCTCTGACATTTCACTTTGACACTTCTTGTTTTATTTTTATTGTGAAGGTACATCCTCAGTCTTTCAAGCACACATTTTGGCTTGTGATTATCTGTCAAATTTTTTTAGAGAAATTTCTGTGAAACCATGAATAAATCAAATATTTGTGTTATTTTCAAATATGAGTTCCGTCATGGAACCAATGCAGCACAGAGAGCTCAAAATATCAACTAAGTGTTTGGGAAGGATGTGGCTAATGAATGCACAGTACATCGATGGTTTGAGAAGTTCCGTTCTGGTGATTTTAATCTTGAACATGAGCCACTCAGGCAACCTAAGACCAAGGTGGATGATGATGAGCTGAAAGCTGTAGTGAAAGCAAATCCACCTCAACCTATGCATGAATTAGCAGCAAGGTTTGACGTTACTGTTTCAACAATATTGGACCATCTGAAACAAATCGGCAAGGTAAAGAAGATGTATAGATGAATACTGCATGAATTAAACGACTGTCAGCAGAGAAATCATCTCAAAGCTTGACTTTCTTTGCTGTTACAACACAAAGGTGAACCATTTCTACACTGTATGGTTACATGTGATGAAAAACGGATTCTTTTTGACAATTAGAAGCGTTTGGCACAATGGTCAGATAAAAATGAAGTGCCAAAACAGAGTCCAAAATCAAATATTCATCAAAAAAAGCTAAGGATGTCTATTTGGTGGTCCAGCGCTGGTATTATCCACTACAGCTTCATGAAACCTGGTCAATCGATTATAGCGATGTCTACTGCAACTAATTGGATGAAATGATGAGGATGGTGTGATTAAGCAGCCAAGATTGGTTCATAGAGACAGACCAATCCTCTTGCAAGACAATGCTCAACCACATGTCAGATAAACAACGCTGTTCAAACTACAGAAGCTGGACTTGGATGCTCTTTGTCATTCACCATATTCACCAGACCTTGTACCAACTGACTATCACTTCTTCCACCTTTGGACCACTTCTTGAAAGGAAAAATATTCAATTCTCAACAAGCTGTGGAAAACACCTGTTGGGATTTCATGGCCACTCGTTCTCCAGGCTTCTTCACTGCTGGCATAAACAAGCTACTGTTAAGATGGCAAAATTGTGTGGATAATTTAGGAGCATACTTTGATTAGTTGTACTGCTTCTTGTTTGAAATATAATAAACTACACTTTTGATTTGAAATCAGACATTTCATATTTAATGACCTAATATAAAGTTACAGTGATTAATATAGCATAATACTAGTAAAAGCTTAGATAGAAAGACCAATGGAATAGAATCAAAATCTGAGAAATGGTTCCAAATACATAATCAGAGTGTAATAAATTATGCTATTTCAAGTCAGAGGGGATAAGATGAATTATTTAATAAACGGCACAGATATTTGGT